AATTTCAAGCCAAGCTTAATCCACGCGACCACATGTATAAGAGAAAAAATAGGTTTAAAGATAAGAAGGGATTATGTTATGTTAATTTCTATGCTTATGTTGACGTCTTGTGTTGCTCGCTTGACTGCATTCGTTAACCTTTTCTTCTGTTCTTGATTAACGCTTGTGACTAACTCTGCTTGTGCTTATGTTGATCTATAAAGACCTATAAACCAGACTGACTATGACTATGACTATGACTATGACGAGCATATAAATATGTTTTTTTGATAATACATTGTCACACAAACGCACCCCAGGGCTCCTCAATTTCGCCCTATTTCGATAAATCTTACTAGTAATTTAATCTTCAATTTTGCGCCTAAGGAGTCCTTTAAAAGCTATTCACTATATGCTTATACATGTTAATGTAATCCACAATATATACGACAACTTTTAAGAATACTCCTATAGACTTCAAAGCATATAAAATGCTATTGAATTTCAATGTATAGATGTTATCAAAGTTACACACACAAAGAAGGCGTCATTTAAAAAGACACCCAATCCAAAGAGATCTTTTACATCAATCGTTAAATGTTTCCCCTGGTTTAAGTTTTAAATAAGCGTTTAAGTGAACATCTGAAATGAAAAACTTTAAAAGCTGCTGAAAACGCCGTCTCCATGGAGATTTCATGATCAGGGGATACATGAGGATTCACAACTGAACAAAACCGGAGAAAACATAACTGTCTTCAGTTCTATGTCAGTATACGTGACCTCTTTTTAGTTTTAAGCAATAAAGTACAAAAAAAATTAATAAATGAAGGAATTCAGTGCCTCCATTTATCAGTCAAAAGACAGACAATAATAGCCTTATCGACCAATGAAATCATTGTTCACAGTGCCATATGGGCGCAGGCTATTACGATGATATAATCGCCTATCTATTATATCTCCATCTTTGATAAATTAGATTATCAAATAGTCCACTTTTGCGAAAACACCAGAACCATTCATTTGATAAGAGGTGCCCTTAGAGCAAGTTGTTATTCARATACACGAGCAATTTAAGCTTAGTGCAGAGGATKTTTRGGCTGATATTTCATTGCGTGATATTTCAAAGATCTGTTTTTGTCCTTCGGTAATATTCTATGAYATTTCACGAGAATACATCAATGGTAGACGACATGTTTATCGACTTCAGACCAGGAATGAACGAAACCTTTCTTTCAGTAGAAGATCCTCTTGCTTCCAAAGTTGCCAAGACGGTCGCCTACAGCGTGCTCTTTATCTTCTCACTTCTCGGCAATGTCATGATCATCTGGGCGATCCACAGAGACCAAAGACTRAAGACAACGACCAATAAACTCATTGCAAACATGGCGGTGAGCGATCTTCTTGTTCCTGTCTTTGGAATACAGGAGGAGATACTCAATATTTACGGTKCTAAGTCAGGATGGAAAGTGCTTGGAGATCTTTCACTAGTGCTTTGCAAGCTTGTTCACTTCTGYCAAGATGCCTCCATTACAGTMTCKGTCTACAGCTGCGTGTTCATCGCCATTGATCGTTATTACGCTGTGGCAAAACCACTTAAAGTTGGATTTAGTCGAAACAGACTGAGGTTTATTATATTGGGGATTTGGATATTGGCCGTGGTAATGGCGACCCCTTCACTAATCAAATACCAAATCGTTTCATTTGGGAATGTCCACTATTGCCATGATAATTGGACCTATATCGGACTAGATCAAATGTATACCACAAGAGTTCAGATGTCARTATTCTTTGCGCTGATAAATGGTATWCCAATTCCCGTCRTATTTACGCTGTACTTATTAATTGTACTCAAGATTCGACATAGCGAAACTCCGGGGGAGCCAACCGAGTTAGSAAGAGCACGACGCCAGAAGCAAAACAAAAAAATACTAAAACTCTCCGTTGTRATTGTAACTCTGCTTTTYGTAAGTTGGTTGTACCTCGATATCGTGCTGTTCCTWGGCATTCTGGGTAAGCTTGACAAGGTTTCGTTCAATACGCTGAGAGATCTGATTTTCTCAGCGAAATTTATCGCGTTTTTAAGCAGCGGGTATAATTTTCTTGTTTACCTAACATTCTGTGATCAGTATCGCAGAAATTTTAAGATTATTGCTTTGAAGATTTGCTTCTGTGGTGAGAAAAAGTGTGGCAACTCGGGGCATGTACAAACTCAAAGTAATGGAACACACCGAGAAACAGTTAGTACCTAGGCCTAATCTGTACTGTAACTATGATACATATATATCGATGAAAATAGTAATGGGCAGATTTGTATTTCGATATATCGGTAAACGTTTTAAAGGKAAACATTAATTAAAGAACAGAAAAACTGTAGCAGCAAGAGAGAAACAGTGGAAATATTCATAATTGTATCTTTAATAAATAAAATTAATGAACAGATTTGTATCTAATGTAAGGGCAGCAGTAATCACGAAATAGATAAGGTTTGTATCAGGTCGAGACCTCRTTTCTTACATTTCATCCAGGGGCGTAGTTTTTGTGGCTTCATGCTGACATTGCCGCCCYCTTCCTTTTCAAAAGAATAAATARAACTGAAAAAATAATGATGTGTGTGAAAACCTTTATATTTGTCTAAAGATAATTTGTTACGGAGTTTTATTGACGAAGAAATATCCCAGAAACGCCTTTAATAAGAGCTCATCCTCGTAGTTAAATATACTTTTCCTTCAAGAAGGAAGACGGTGTTAGCACTACAATCAATGCAATGTATGTTAGAACATCGGCAAGTTGAAATAAAATTAATCAATTTCTTCAAATTAAAAAGGGATCCAGAAAGATTCAAAAGGCTGTCCATCGGTGCACAACACCTCAACCCCCCTCCCCTCCCTCCCCTTCAAACACTTCAAATTTTACCATCATTTTGAACCATTGCCGCATTTGATTTTTTGTAATGGATAGCAATGAAATGTGAACATTCAGTCGAAAAGCAGGCAATTTGCTTACCTAATGTGTTATCACTGGAAAAAATCGCGCTCTTTAAAGGTTGTAAATTTGATGTAAATATGATGTAAGTGTCCAAAATTCTGTAAATTTAATGGAAATCATTTCCATCAAATTTACAGAACTTGGACACTTACATCATATTTACATCAAATTTACAACCTACGAAGCGCGCAATTTTTTCCAGTGTATCTTTTCCATATACACGCATATTGTTATTCTTATACAGCGACTCTGTTTTAGTCAATAATTTGATCAGTTTTTCGATCAACCGCGAAATGTGCAGGACGTGAATAATCTACATGCCTAAGTAATATTTTATGTTTCTTATTGAAATGTGAGCCGTGGTCAAAAGGCTCAGAGTTCGCGTGATCAAGTTGGCGTGATACAAGTCAGTTGTAATCATCCGATCAGAGATCAGATCTTGCGCAACGAATACGTCGTCACACAAAGATCACTGAACTTCCCCAAATAACTCTCATTTCATTGGACGAAATGACATAAACGTTTCCGACAAAAAAACCGTCTACATCGGAGGTTGTGCGCACTAATTAGAATGACTTATATTGACAGTGGAATACTTAACTGAGGAGACAGCATAAGCATCGTCAAATGAATCTTTTTTTTTTGCAGTTTAACGCCGTAAAAAAGTAGGTGAAATAACTAGCTGATTGGCTGATAAGAGGGACCGATAAGAGTGTGTCAAGAGGACATACACACTGTGCTGAAACCATCACGTCTCGCGCGCTCAATTGAAAGAAAATAATGATTTTCGCTAATATTTAGACTAAAAATGTAGCAAAAACAAAAAAAAGATTCACATTGTTTTTCGTTGTATATGCCCTCTTATTGACACAAACTTGACGTCATAAAATGTTCAAAATTCAAGTGGACACACGTGCGCAATTTGTTAAAAAGACAGGCGGGTAGACTATGGCTCGTTCACACCAACCAACTAAACATGTTTAAAAGTTGTTTAATAAAACACGTTTAAATACCGAGCGTTCAMATTGCCAAAAAGCGCGCGCTAAACATGTTTTTAAAAAACGCGTTTAACAAAACTACCTCTTAAATTATGCACAAAAAAGCTGTTACCAATTATTTGAAAAAAAGGCGGTTAGTGATAATCATAAGTATAAATTGATCGAGAGGATAGGGGAAAATGTGACTAGAAAACATGGAGTAAGTAAGGTAGACAAGGAAGGCAATACAAGGTTATAGTAAAACATCACTACTGCAATCTGGAAGTGGTTTACCTAGCAGGGGTAGACCATGATGCACGCGATAACAGACAACAAGSAGGAGAACAATCTCAAGAGAATAAATGGAAACTATAAGAAGACTATTAAACAAACAGGCCTGTTCTTAAATTATATGACTAYATAAATATAAACAAAAATTCGCAAGGAGGAGGAAGCGAAGGGAATGAACGTCAAAATCAGAGGCAAGTCAATATTAAACGTTTTCATAACAGCCGGGGAAATTCCAGGACATTTTTTAAATGTTAAATTCTTCCTTCATTCTGAACAGAAATGGCTTTAGTTCAAGCACATCAATGATTGTATCACATTTTCGTATCATCATTTACTGCAATCATTCAAACCGTACGCTTTTACTTTAAAATAATGATATCACATTAGAATTTCACATTTGTTGTCAACATAATGACCTTTTAATTTCTATATTACTTCTTCTTTCTATATTACTTCTAATAATACAGAATAGTTAATACGAGTTGGTATGTGGTTTTGTTTTATTTCATGGTTTTTCTGTGTTTGCTCTATCTATACAATATATAAGTCTTACTAGTCAATAAAGCAACGAAAAGCTCTCAGAAGTAAAAACCTTCCCATCAAATTGTAATAACTCACCGAAAAAAAACCGATTAAAAACCTGCACATTAAAAAAAAAAAAAAATACAGAATAGTGGATCTGCTAGTAATTGGATAAAAGCTGGTAACCTTTAAGATTAGATGATAATAAAAATTCAAAAAMCTTTTTTCATGTTATATTTCAAAGCTGAGCACTGGAAAAAACCGCGCGCTTTAAAGGTTGTAAATTTGATGTAAATATGATGTAAGTGTCCAAAATTCTGTAAATTTAATGGCAATCATTTACATCAAATTTACAACCTTTAAAGCGCGCGATTTTTTCCAGTGGAGTGTATAGTTACTTATAGTTACTATGAAGGTATAACTTGCTTTTAACTGAAGTCATTCATAGATTATAGGATAGATATTCTTATTTTTTTAACTTAGAGTACTGCACTAATGTATATATGGCTGCATGGACCTTATACGCATTCTTTATCTTTTCGTTCCATTACATTGTTTAACTTATGAATTCATTGACTTTCGATGTCTTGTCTTCAGTTTATTGGATTCAATTCTATTATTTCCGCYCCACCTGCTAATTCCTGTCTTCGGTTGGAGTTAGRTCGACAACAACACTTGGGTATCAAAGATTTGATATTCTCACGGTAAATATCATTGAAGATGAGRTAGATGAAGAAATTGTACACAAGACTGAGGTAGAAAATGAATAGAAAAGCAAAATKTAAATGYATAATTGATGAGGACGAGAGATGRYCCAAGTGCCCCTTTTCATAAAGAATAAAAAAAATAACCCGAGTAMCGTGGCAAAGATAAAGCAAARCTACAATTGTCACAGCTTGTTTCAAWACTTTTTTCTTTTGCTTTTCTCTTCGTCTTCGYTCTGATGTCAATATTCCGGGCACTTTGCGGCGATAAASTTTACAGGTGATMWAAGTATAGGCRATTGCKATGAACACGGCCGGTAAAACTTTGCCAAAGGCTATTSCAACGATRTAAATGTACACAATATAATAAGAAAAGTCCTTATAATCATTAGGAGAGCAATATTGCAAATGTCCATCAGCATTCGTATTAAAAATATACAAGAGTGGTGAACTGATGATGGCTGCAATAATCCAAATAACTGCAATGACGTGTTTCATCTTCCCCTCGAAMGGTTTCTTGAATGGATGAGCCACGGCGAAATACCGGTCAATAGCAATGGCAACACAGCTACATACAGAAACAGCGAAAGACRTATCTGTTGTAAAGAAAGTTAGCTTGCACAGAGCATTACCAATGWCACCACCAATCAGCCATTGGGAGCCAAAGYTTATRRATACTATAGCGTCAGGAAAGATTGAAAGAGCTGCAATAAGATCACTGACCGCCATGTTGGTTATTAAATAATTAGTGGTAGTTTTTAACCGATTGTCTTTGTAGACTATCCACACTATAAGGGCGTTTCCAATCATCGCAGCAAGTAATAGAAGAGAAAAGGCCACAGTCCATGGTATCTTGCCGTTATAAGGGTCAGAAATTGCAGTATCATCAGTCCATGCTATCTTGCTGTTGTAAGGAGAGGGAATAAACCTAGAATATGTCGAGTTATAAGTAGAGTTATTAAACATTATGATTGACTACCAATACGTAACGGTCAGAAATTCCAAGAAAATTGAGAGTAGGATTACGAAACATCGAGTAGATTTAAACTGTACGCCCTTTTGTGTATTAAAAAAGAATAAATTTAGCATAAAAGTGATGTTTTCTTCTTTATATCATAAGCACTGCCTACAATTTGTTTAAACAGCAGGACAAAATGCATAAAAAAGGAATATTATTTAATTTAACATGCCAGCGCCTACTGAAGTTTAACGCTGGATTAAACAGCCCTCAGCATGACCTCCAACAATTTAGAAAAAAGCTGGTGAACAAAGATAAAGCAACGTGTTCAAACAACTACATCGGTTTCATTTGGTAGGGATATACTACTTCAAAGAGTATGGCAGCCGTTACTTTCAAAAGAAATGCTAGTTAATCAAGAAAAACACCAAAACACTTCATGTAAATTTTAATTTAACATTAAGCAAATCAGACAGGAAGGCTCTCATCTTTACAGTACATAGTTCTTTGTTCCCCATCTTTTGTAATCATCATTATTTCTCATCATAGCTGTCAGTAAAAATTAATGTTTCTATTATTTAGTCGTCTTAACTCTCATCTTTTTATAAGCAATTAAAAAGCGTCTGTTTGTGGACAGCAGCGCATAGCAGTTCAAGGTACTCAGCACGAGTTTCATCCATGGCCTTTGCATGTTAGGGGCGATTCAACTCTTAAAATAAACTTTTTACGCCCTGATTGTGATGTTTAAAAGTGAAGACGTTTAACATAAAGATAATATTTTATTCTTTATAACCGCAGACTAAAAATCCGTCAGAAAATAATGATATTAAAAATGCAAGGCATTTGAAGTTTAACACTGCGAGTATTCTTTTACATTTGAATTATCGAGTGCGGATACAAGACGAGTGATTTAGGTTAGAAATATGATGATAAATATTTAAAACAATGTAAGTCTGAACGGGGAAACATATTTGAAAAACAGCTAAAGTAGCATTCATCTGATAGAAACATTCATTTCCCTCTTCCCATCTATCCATTTCATATTCTTTCTTTAAATAGACTGCAGTTTCGCTTGTGAGTGCACACCGTGACGTGGTATAAATTAGCAGGTGTACACTAGTTCAGTCAGAGCAGATAGCAATTTGGGAAAAAGCGGTCAAACAAAGATAAAGCAACACTGTTAAAACAGCTACATTGTTATTAAGCAATGGCTTAATATAGCAGGGCTATACTACTTCAAAGTGGTAGTGCTAATTAATCAAGAAAAACACCAATATAATAAACCCAATAATAAAAACGCAAACTAGTTAAATACACAGAACTCTAATATTAATGATATCAGTCACAAGCTACCACCTAAATACAAAATAGTCATTTGATCAGTTATTTTAATTTATATTTTATTCGAACTCTTCTGTATGACAATATCATATGAATTGAGAAGAAGAAAAAGTATTCAGCTATGAACAAGTCCTTAATACGACAAGCGAGAAAACTTATATGTATTATATAAATGTTCTTGCTCAAATCCTAACCCAAAAAATTCTTCAACTGACTAAAATTATGCACAAAAAAGCTGTTACCAATGATTACTTTCAAAAATGCTAGTTAATCTAGCAGGAAGGACCTCATCTTTACAGTACATAGTTCTTTGTTCGCCATCTTTTGTA